AAATATATTTTATTGATTTTTTACAGAGAGAAAGGGAGAGGGATAGAGAGTTAGAAACGTCGATGAGAGAGAAACATCGATCAGCTGCCTCCCGCACATCCCCTACTGGGGATGTGCCCGCAACCCAGGCACATGCCCTTGACCGGAATCGAACCCGGGACCCCCCAGTCCGCAGGCCGACGCTCCATCCACCGAGCCAAACCGGCTTCGGCTTCACTTAAACTTTTTATTTTTGCTTCTGTTGTTCTGTTTTTTCAATGCCATGGTCACAGATGACTCATCCCACTTAAAGCAGAAGATAATAATCTTCTGAAGCTAAACACCTCCCAGCTCTAAACTTCTCTTAAAATGAAAAAGCAAACAGGCCTCTCCCTGGCCCTGCTTTCCCACAGGCCCTGCCTCCCCCACCCTCAGGCTGCAGGCTGCACTTGCCAATGGTCTCCCTTGGCACCCCCTTTCCAAGGAAGGGATGGGGGAGGGGAAGAGACAAGAGAGGGAAGGGGCAGAGGGGAGGGCGCCCACAGGGAGGACGGAGGCCAGACCCTGCGGGTGCACAGGGCGACCTGAAGGCCGGGGAACCTCTCCTCGAAAAGCACTTCCTTTTTCTCTGAAGATGAAAACAAACGCTCCCTGTGAGCCGAAGGCCAACATCAACCCCTCTGACCTGGACATCACCGTGTGCACACCCGTCTGCACTCCTGGTGCAATGGTTCCTCTCAGCCCCCTTCAAAGCAGGACCAGCCGTCCAGGGTCCCAGGGGCAGGCAGAGGCCTCCCCATTGTTCCCTCTTCCTCATTCCGCTGGCGGAGATGGCGTTTCCTCAGATCTAGGAGAGTGGCCTACCCTCCCCCACCCTTTTGTGCCAAGAATACTGTCTAGGACCGGCAGCCTGGGAGCCACTCCTGCTGTTCGCCATTGCTGAACCCACAGCCCCTCCCAGGCCCCCAGGACATGCCTGCCACTTGCTCACACCCAGCTCGCTTTCCAGGGAACGGCTGGGATCGCCACAGTGAGACCTGTCGCTCGGTCTCTGCATCTGTCACAGCCTCCCCGCTCCGTCCTTCCAGGGGAATGGCGTCTCCCCAGCAGGCCATCCCCCACCCTGCCATGCCCTCCAAGGGCCTCTTGGGGAGTGGTGGGAGCCAGTGTCCCCGGGGGACAGACTCCTTTTTCTGCAGCCTGCATGGAACCCGGGGGAGTGCACAGGGACAAGGCCAGCTTCTCGGGCCACAAGGAGCCCATCGCCTGCCCTCTCTCACTCGTGCCCTCCCAGCCTCTCCCATCACCGCCACCGGGGCCACCGGGCAGGGAAGGAGGAAACAGAGACGTCCTGTAGGTGGGTTCCCAGCAGCACGACCAGAGAAGTTAGGAGCTTCTTCCCTCTTCCCGCCAGGATAACCAGCCTGACCCAGCTTTCAGCGCTGCAGCTTTGGGGGGCCCTCCTACCCTTGACTCCCCACTCCATCCAAGCAGGGTGACAGGGGGCGGAAGGGGAGGAGGAGGTGACCCTACCTCCTAGGCCACACCGGCCCAGAGCGCCTGTGGAAAGGGCTGACGGGGAAGAGGGCCTCCATCCACGCTCCTCGGTGAGTGCCACTCACTACAGCCAACGCAGACCATCCAGCGCCAACGTCAGGGGGAAGGCGCCGGGCACGCTCAGTGCCCTTTCTCAGCAGTGGCAACTGGGTCCAGAAATAGAGGCAGCTCCAGGCAGGGAGCGTGCCCCAGCGGGGGCCCACGGTGCACCTAAAACCTCAGATTGACAAACATTCTAAAATAATTTTCATTTTCTCAGAAGGAAACCATTTGTACAATTGTCAATGCCCTAAAAATGGTGGAAAATCCTACAGAACCATCAGTAACAGCTCAGCCCCCACACAAATCGCTCCCCGAGACAACAGGGGGGTGAGGGCATGAGTTGGGGGGTTATGGTGGGATAAGGGCACATATGTAATACCTTAATAAAGAAATTTAAAAAAAACCTGACAAATAACCTAGGAAGGAGTCCGAGGCCACGCCCAAGGGCACCTGAGCACCCGACCAGCCGGTCATGAGCAGCTCAGCTTCAGAGCCCGGCGCCCACAAACTGCCTCACAGAGAAGCAGGACCCACATGCAAACACGTGCACCACCCCCACTCCCCTTCACAGCTAGGCCAGCCCTCCAGTCAAGTCCATGCTGTAGCTCTAAATACAAAACAATAAATACCTGAAGTCCTTTCTTAAAGGTGGCAATATTTTCTAAATAGCATTCTCAGACTTCATGCAAACAGCAAGACAAAATGAATAATTATTATAGATTATATGACAGTAACCTGGCCAGCGTGGCTCAGTGGTTGAGCACCGACCTAGAAACCAGGATCCGGGCACATGCCCGGGTGGAGGGCTCAATCCCCCGTGTGGGACATGCGGGGCAGCTGATCGATGATCCTCCCTCATCACTGATGTTTCTATCTTTTTCTCCCACTCCCTTCTTCTCTGAAATCAATAAAAACATATTTTTTTTAAAAATGGTCTCATTATGTGTCTGCTAGAGACACATCTCAGATTGAAAGACACAAAGATTTTAAAGTAAAAGGCGAGGAAAAGGCTCACAACGCAAAGAGAAACCGTAAGAGAACTGAAGTGGCCAGACAAAACGGACCTGCAAACAAGAAACCCGGCCGGAGACAAGCCGGGCATTTCACCGTAAAAGAACCGACCAGGTGGCTAAACAACTGCGAACTGACAACAGAGCCTCAAATGCATGAAGCAAAACCTGACAACAGTGAAAAGAAAATTCATCCATAAGAGTGGGATTCCAACACCCCACTGTCAGAGACTAACAGAAAAACTATAAAGGAAATAAGGACGAATAAGGAGGACTCAACACCAGAGACCAAGACCCCTGCCACGGAGCAGCCCACTGACCACTGCCAAGTCCACCACGTTCTGCTCAGCACTCGGCCAACACGCTCCAGGACAGAACAGGGTCTGAGCCATTAAAACACTAGCCAATTTAGACAAATGGAAGATAAAGCAGCCCTAACCAATCACAGCGATGTTTCTCTCTCGGTCTCTCCTCCTCCCTTCCACTCTCTCTAAATATCAATAGAAAAATCGCCTCAGATAAGGATTAACAACAACAACAACAAATACACAAATAACAAAGCAGGACCGTAATGAAATTACATTAGAAGTCAACACGACAGGGAAATCTAGCAAATACCAAAATATTTTGAAATTAAACAACACACTTCTAAATAACCCATGGGTAAAAGGGATCACAAGGAAAAATAGAAATATTTTGAACTAAAAAAATACATAAAAACACAACATTTCGGCCGAAACCGGTTTGGCTCGGTGGATAGAGCGTCGGGCTGCGGACTCAAGGGTCCCAGGTTCGATTCCGGTCAAGGGCATGTACCTGGAAAAACACAACATTTCGAAATGTATAGGAGGCCACTAGATTGAGTGCGCCAGGGCCGCCGCAGCAGAGCGCCCTAAACTGGCGAATTACAACCACGGGAATTCACCGTCTCCAGGTTCTGGATGCCAGAAGTCCAAAACCAAGGTGTCGGGGACCAGGCTCTCTGATGGCGCTAGCGGGTGTCTTCCTTGGCCCTCAGGGGTCTCCTTGGTGTTCCTGGCTGGTAAGTACATCCCTCCAGGCACATGGCGTGGTCTTCGTGACCTTTCACATCATCTTCCCTCTGCTCTGTGAATGTCTGTGCTCACAGCCTTCTCCTCTCTGATGCGGACACAGGTCCTATTAAATCAGGGCCCACCTACTCAAGTGCAACCTCCGAAAGCAAATGCAATGGCCCTAAATAGGGTCACATTCTGAGGGAGGAGGGGTTAGGACTTCAACCTATCATTGTGGGGGACACAATTCCATAACACAGCTAAAGAAGCACTCTGTGGAAAATATATCACTTTAAACTCCCATATCAGAAAAGAACTTCAACCAAGATCCTAAGCTTCCACCTTAAGAAACCAGAAAAAGGCCCTGACCGGTTTGGCTCAGTGGATAGAGCGTGGGCTGGCGGACTGAAGGGTCCCAGGTTCGATTCCGGTCAAGGGCATGTACCTGGGTTGCGGGCACATCCCCAGTGGGGGTTGTGCAGGAGGCAGCTGATCGATGTTTCTCTCTCATCAATGTTTCTAACTCTCTCTCTCTCTCCCTTCCTCTCTGTCAAAAATCAATAAAATATATTTAAAAAAGAAAAGAAAGGAAACCAGAAAAGGGGCAACTAAACTCAAAGCAAGCATAAGAAATAGAAAAGAAAAAGAGATTAGAGTGGAAATAAATGAAATAGAGAAGAAAAAAGCAATAGAGTAGCAACAAAATCAAGTTAGTTCTCTGAGGCTTCAACATAATCACAAACCTTTGGCTAAACTGACCAAGAAAGAGAGAAAAGAATGGAGGTCAGGATGCAAGGTGAGCAGTGCTGCTCCTCCCTAAACAATAAGGGTTATAAAGGAGCGCTACAAGCAACCGTACACCACAAGGTGCATGCCCTGGGTGAAGCAATTCCACCAGGAAGGAGGCAAACCTTTTTGCTGGGGGAGGGTCCCGCCTTCGGTTGTAAAAGACGCACAACACCGTGGACACAATAGGCAGAGTGAAATGAAACGAGGTGCCTGCAGAGAAAGAGCTCTCATGACCAGCAACAGAACCAAACTGAAGGAAGGACTTGAATCCCTACAAAGAAAATGTCCGAATGGCTAACAAGCTCACAGGAAGATGCTCGACTTCGCTGATCATCACACACAAGGAAACCGCAACGAGGTACCACTTCACACTCAGGAAGGCTGCGGCAGCCAGAGCCAGCGTGAGAGCTGCAAAGGTGCGGGGAGCTGGGCACACGGCCTGCTGGTGGCGATGCCCATGGTGCAGTCACCGGGGGAACAATTCTGCACGGGGCTGTCCTGACCGAGCACTCCCACTGCCAGGCGCACAGCCAGAGACTTAACGCCGAGGGCCACACAAAGCTTTGCTGACGCCACAGCACCGTTCACAGGAGACAAGCAGTGCAGCAACCCAAGGCCCAGCTGCGGACAGATGGACACATGGGCCATGTCCGCAGCTTCCGGAAGGACACAGCTGTCCACCGCCAGAGCGGGTCCCTGGAGAGCGAGGCCCAGGCAGCTTCCTGCAGCCTCAGGTCCTCAAGAGTGAAGGAGAAGGACCGGGGCTGGAGGAGGTAGCTGCCACTCACGCCCTGGTTTGAAAGCGGCGTAAATGATCTGAAACAGAAACCAAAACGCCAAGTAGGAAGGGCCAGCCCACCCAGGTCTAGCCAGTGTCTCCACGACAAGGTAACAGCGCGGCTTCGCAGGACGATCGGTTCACGGCAGGGAGAGCCAAAGCTGAGGCGGAAAGCAGGCAAAAGCAGCAGCGGGGCTACAAGCCGCCGGTGAGCGGTGCAGGCAGCCAGAGGACTCGGCCGAGGGGCGCCGCCCACTCCAGACTGGCCGGGCAGAGTACACTCAGGAGCTTCCAGGTTTGCAGCTGAGACTGCGCCAGCAGCAAGCTGGAGCGGAACTGCTCTGACTCTTAAAGTTCTACTTGGTGGCTGTGCACACTGCGGTCCAAACTCCAGACTGCCTGGCAAGACACATCCCCTCCTCTTCCTCTTCTATGGAAGGGAGAATGGGGACAGTCACCGACCTGGTTGGTGGGGCTGCCGTCAGCACTAAAGGGAAAACGCCACCTAAGTCCCCCGTCGAGCACCCGACTCTAATACACACAGACTCTAAACCCCATTTGCCAATGGAAAACACCTACAGCCGTTATGACGACCACACTCCCTGGTCCCAGCCACGCGAATAAATGGATCCCTGCAGGACCAATGACCAGGCCACCGTGTCAGACTCGAGTGTGGAAGGTAACTGAACCCGTCCCCCTGACAGCACTGGGCACGGGATGGGGCAGTACACAGCGTGGCTCCTCTCAGCTGCCGCGCATCTACCCACAAAAACCACTGCTAAAATGTCCAACACCCACCCCAATTTTTATTTTTTTATTCTTATTTTTAAGGTAGAGGTACGTGGCCCTAAAGAGAGCTTCTAAAGTTTTCTCCGAATATCGGGAGCAGCCTGGGTTCGAAATTGGTGTCCTGCCTGGCCAGTGTGGCTCAGTGGTTGAGCGTTGACCTATGAACCAGGTGGTCAGGGCTTGATTCCTGGTCAGGGTACATGCCTGGGTTGCAGGCTCAATCCCCAATGTGGGGCATGCAGGAGGCAGCTGATCCATGATTCTCTCTTTATCATTGATGTTTCTATCTCTCTCTCCCCCTCCCTTCCTCTCTGAAACCAATAAAAATATTTTAAAACAAACAAAAAAGCAAGTGCATACTAAAAACAAAAATGCTCATCATTAGTCAGTAGGGAATTCCCAATCAAACCTGCAGAGATACCACTTCACACCCACGGCACAGCTACTATCAAAAAGGTAGGTAATGACAAGTGCTGGCGATGTGTGGGAAACCTGGAGCCTTCACACAACACGGTAGGGTGTAAGACGCTACATCTGCTGTGGGAACAGTGTGGCAGGTCTACACACAAAGTTACTCTAGTCCCTGGCCAGATCGCTCAGTCACAGCCTCGTCCTGATATGCCAAGGTTGCAGGTTCAATCCCTGGTCAGGGCACATACAAGAATCAACCAATGATGCATCAATATGAGGAACAACAAATCAATGTTGCTCTTTTGTGCATGCGCCACCCCCCACCCCCCCGCCGGTCAATAAATAAATAAATAAATAAATAGGCACATCCAAAAAGTGACTGAACAAAAATAACCAAAAAGCACACTGGCACCTAACGTCATCAGTCATCGGAGAAAGGCAACATTAAACACACGGCGCACCTCCCAGGACGGCAGGGCTGAAAAGGACAGGTGACCCCAGATGTCAGCAAGGCTGTGCAGCCACGGACACGCCTTCCCTTGTGATGCGGCACGAACCACTCCACACACACGCACACCCTGTGATCAGCGCCCACCCGGGATACACCCGACAGCAGCGGTGCCTGTCTTCCAAAGGGCACACAGCAGGTTCACGTCACCTCTGCCCGAGCACCCCAACTGCAAACAGCTCCAATGCCCAGGACAGAGCACAGAGGGGGAGGAAGAAGCGCTATTCCAGGGAGTGCACAGCAGGGAGAAGGAATGCACTCCCAGGGGCCACACACAGGCGAACCTCACCCATGTGACGCTGACGGGAAGGCCGACCCCGGGCATGGCAGCCTTTTACCAAGTTCACCACCGGGCAGAGCCGCCCACGGCATCAGAAGCCGAGAAGGCAGTGACCCTGGGGAAGTACAGGACACACCAGAAGGGCCCAGGGGACTGCGTGGTCCTGGTAATGTCCCTGCTTGACTGGAGACATGTAGGAAAACATACACATAACATGTGCATTTTTCTAGAGTATTTGTGTCATACAGTAAAAACATTTCCCCCAAATGCAATCTCCATACTTTGGTTCAAGGCCTTGCTGTTCCTGAACCCTGTAGAGGGGCTTGACGAGATCTGCCCTGCTTCTATGAGGAGCAGAGGGCACACTGAGCGGGCGTGGAGCACCACCCTTCCCTGCCACGTGATGGCGGCATTGGTCTCCCCCAGCGCTCCAGGAGTTCAGGACACGCCCTCAGCCTAAACACTAGCCTTGGGATGCATCAGGGAGGAGATGACCTAAACTCCAGGACAGAAATGATCTTAACCAGATTAGCGAGCCATTTCCCACTACACAGGCCCACCAGCCCTGGGTGTCAGGTGCTTGCAGTACCCAGAATCCGTATCTCCTTTCCCACAGGAATACTTTACTAGAGGCCTGGTGCATGAAATTCTGCACGGGTAGGGTCCCAGAGATCAGGGCTGATCTGTGGGGCAACTGGAGGAGCAATCGGGGGGAGGAGAGGGCCGTGCGTACCGCTGATTCGCCAGCCCCGTCCCCACGCCACCTCCACCTGTGGGGCGATCCGCGGGTGATGGGGGCGGGGGGTGCTGGTACCCGCCTTGGCTGGCCTGGGGCCTGAGGCTAGGGGTAGCTCCTGTGTTGAGCATCTGACCCCTGGTGGTCAGTGCACGTCATAGCGACTGGTCATTCCACCTGGTCATTCTGCCGTTTGGTCGATTTGCATATTAAGCTTTTATTATATAGGATGGTAAAGCAGTTTTTCCTTGTAGAAGTATTCCAGCTAATAAATGGAGAAAGACTGCCATTTTGCAACCCCTGATGAGTTATTGGCTCTGAGCAATAATATAAATGATTAACATCACAAAACAATCTTATTATGCCTGATTAAAAAACTCAACACTGTACCAGTAACTACATATTCTTGCTAAAACAATTTTTAAAGACAAACTTACATCTGATGGAGCCTCCAGCCCAAGGCTGTCCAACCAAAACACAATGTAAGCCACAATGTGAGCCATGTATGTAATTTTAAATTTCCTAGTAACCACACTTTAGAAACACAAATTACTTTTAATAATATTTCATCTAACCCAATATATCCAAAATGGCAGGCAAACAGTATTTTACAGTATTAATGTGACACTTTGCGTTCCCTTTTTCCCATGAAGTCTTCAAAACCTGCTGTGTATGTGGCCCTTACACATCTCAACTCACACCAACCACACACAGTTCAGCTGCTCCGCAGCCACAGGAGGCTGGTAGCTACCTCCCCGGGAAGCAGCAGCTCCACGTCTCCAGCCTCAAGGACGGGAAATGCAGAGAGGAGCATATTAAACACACTGGGAGAATGCAATCAGCAAAACTAAGGGTATCGGAAAGTTTGGGACAAATGAACCATTATCTTCAAAACTTAATTGCAAGAAAAAGATAAATACACGGAATTCAATACATCGAGTTTTTTAAGAGCTATCTATCCAGGGCAATGAATAGACTACACTTTGTTCCTAATTTGAAATGAAATAAAAGTCAGAACATAGGCTGGATACTTACTGACTGGCTATGAGTATTAGCTGAACTAGTCACAGATGAAGTGTGTCTGAGTAACTGAGGGAGGGAACCAGCCACGAGCAGGGGCCTGTGGGTGCAAGGGGACAGGTGCACGGCCCTCACTCTCCCCACAACTGCTTCGGAGCAGATCTGAAAATTCCAAACCACATCGTCTAAAACACCTAAACGCACTGCTTGCAGGGGCTCCATAATCTCAACCCTGCTGGCCTGCTGAGAGAAGTGAGTGGCTGGGGGGCTAAGGAGGGAGATGGTACACACTATAACACTCTTATACTCTGAGGTTTCTTTTTTGTGTGTTTTTTTAATATATTTTATTGACTTTTTACAGAGAGGAAGGGAGAGGGATAGACAGTTAGAAACATCGATCAGCTGCCTCCTGCACATCCCCCCCTGGGGATGTACCCAAAACCAAGGTACATGCCCTTGACCGGAATCGAACCTGGGACCCTTCAGTCCGCAGGCCGACGCTCTATCCATGGAGCCACATCGGTTAGGGCTATACTCTGAGTTTTTAACAGTGTAGCTCAGAAATTATCTTATCTACTACTGAAAAATCAAACCCAAACACACAAACCCTGACTCCGCCCCCTGGCCTCTCTGCAACCCCACCTGTCCCTGGGCCCAGCCCACTCACTGGCCCCTGCTCTATGCTGGTCTTCCTTCAAGCCTCTCTCCACACAGCACCAGCACCTTTGACAAAGATCGTTCCACACCTAAAACCCTTCAGTGACTGTTTAGCCACTTGTTGCCATGGCGACGTGGCCCTATATGACCTGTCTTTGCCTCTCCAGCGTCACCTCATCCCACTCGCCCTTTCTGACCCAGTAACTGAACCGAAGGGTACAGGCTCACCCAGTTCATAATCAAGGAAATTGGAACGTCCCCGCAACAAACACCACAGGCTGGTCAGTGTGACGGGGCGGAACGTGCGAGGAGAGTGCAGATGGCACCCTCACTGATCACAGCCGACTCTCAGTACCAACACACACACCCTGAGGATCAGAAGAGACACGACATGGCTGGCATTCTCGCGTTTCTAGGTTTCAGTTTTCTACATTTGCTAAAATCCGGAACCTTTTATTTAAAATGTACAGACTAAAAAAATTAAGATTAAAATAAATAAAAAGTTAAAATGTACATACTATTTCTCACCACCCCAATTCCTGCCTCACGCCTTCAAGACCTGGACTAACACGTCCTCACGGCTCATGTCCAGCCGCAGCCGTCAGGGCCAGC